ATTGCTGCCGTTGTAAGCGAAACGTTGTGCCCACAAATTGGCTTGTTAAATTGCAACCCAAGGATCAACTGGTTCGTTTAACATTAAGACCCAGTTTAGCGGCAAAAATAGCTGCTGCAATCACAATTGCGGTAAATAAACGTAAATAATGACCAGCGTGCGATATAAAGCAATACGGATAATTTATCTGATTCGTTTGCAGCACGATGTAATTTAATTATAAGGCAGGATTTATCGCTATCGGGACTCGGAGGAAAATGGTTGCATTATCTGGAAAGTATCTATTTTCATGCGGTGCTGTTTGTTGGCATGTCGCTTGATAGTGTGTTACCCAACTAGACGACAACTGCGTTCAAGGCAATTTTTTAAAAAACACTTCTAAATTTACATGTTGATCGTTTGAATGGGAAAAAAATCGGTTTTCTAAGCCTCTAGCGGCCGTTTACCTTTCGCTAATGGCGATCACTTTTCAAGCGTGCAGAAAGTGGGAGTGTGTTGATTTGCCTCATTTTTTCCGCAAATTGATTGATTTATTAGGGCATAAACGCTGCTAATGCAAATCGCACCAGCACTTTGATATAAAATTACGCGATTTCGGCAACACTTTGTATTTATAGACGGCCGACTTTCCACACGGGACTTTGTTGACCTCTTTTCCTTAGAGCACGTTACTGCACATTTTCCTTAATATTTTCGGGCAATTGCTTGAATTTTAGTGCTCAGAGTCCGCTCAAGAAGCAGAACTACTCGCATAAAAAACAGGCAAAATAGGCATTTTTCCTGGTATTTGTTTAAAGTAAATACGCAAGCAGAACGATTATTTCGTTGATGGACGACGCAATTTAAAATCCATCAATCGCGTACAGTATGACGTCCAGATAAGGAACGATCAACAGGAAAATTACTGGGCTGATTGGCTGAAAACGGTTTCATTTGCAGCGACTGTTCGGAATTAGGGCTTTTACCGATAATTTTCCGTCTATTTGCAGGCACCGGCACCTTTGGAAGAGTGTTGCTCTGCAAAAACAAGCAAACCGAAGAATATGGAGCGATGAAGATCCTCTGCTTGGCCGATGTAATTCGGTTAAAACAAGTGGAGCATGTGAAGAACGAGAAGAACATTCTTCAAGAGGTTCGCTACCCTTTTGTCGTCAATTTGTAAGTATCGTTTTTACTTGGCAATCGTTGAAAACTTGGGGCATTTTGCACAAAGTCAAAATGTTTTTTTACAACCGAAAGATTCACTATTTTCGTTAGACAAATCACTAAGTTAAACCCTGAAGGTGATTTTCCAGCTTTAAAAGCTTTGGAGCCTCACAAAATCAACTTTACGCTGACAAATTTGACTAACTTCGCAACTGGATAAAGTCTGACTGCCAGAGCGAATTCATTTCTATTTGAAGCGTTATTTCGCGCAATTCTTGTTCGGATTGTGCGTGGTTTTGGACCAAAAAAACGATTTTTTGTATTTCCACACTACCAGCATTAACATCGACCGCATTTCTCTGAAAAGTTTTTGATTTTTTTCGCTCAAATCGTTTATTTCCAGTGGCCTTAAAAATATGCCTTTTGGTCTGACTGATAATGTTTTCCTGCTGCACCCATTTTCAAAATATTGGAATCATTTTGAGGCTCAAACTTCTCAGAGGAGTTAAGTTGAGTTTAACATGAGCTCTAGATCGTGGAGTTCCGTCCATGAACAGCAAAGTGGTCGCTGCGAAGCCAAAAAGTTGATTTTCTTGAATCGAACAGATGGGCGAAAAATCCAAACTGCTTCAAGCCACTTTTTAAGTTTAGATCCTCAAAAAATGTTTTTTGACAAACTGGAAGCAAGCCGAACTGGGCAAAGTTTGCATTTTTCCATTTGCCGCCCTGTAGAAAATTTAACTGAGGTACTCAATTTAGCAAACCGCTGGCCAACAAAGAACAAAAGGGGCTCAACAGCGCTTCAAACAGAAACCAAATCGCTTTAAGCACGCGGAATTTGTCCAGTTCCAAAGTTGGGGCAAATTTGGCTCTGTCTTCCGACAGCTATTTTTAAAATCCAATTAAATTGACTCCCACAATGACTTAAAATCGACTCAACCGCGTAAATCTTCTCAGTTTTGCCTGAATCATCGTCTGATTCGAGCATGTTTGGCTGAGATCATGCTGCGATTCCTTTATGGAAGCTGAAGCAGCCTTCAAGTCCTTTCAGATTTACGCTCACTTTCTCGATGGCCATCTTAAGAAGACGCTGACCGAAGCCACTTTCTTCTCGCCGTTCGCAAACGCCTGCGGTCCGATTCGGTCACTTTCATTCAAACAAACATCGCCTGATTAGATAACTAAAGGCCATCGTTACTTGATCTCGCCCAATCCTCCCCTGTCTGGAACAGAAAAATCGCTAAAACTAGTGACTAAGCGGCGCTGACTCACCGAAAGCAGTCAGAGTCGCTGTCTTTAGACTCTCAGGTCTGGGAAATCGTTAAAACTGAAAATGGCGCCATAAATTAGAGGGGAAATAAATAAAAGTCTCATAAACAACGTTCGTCGACTGATTTACCTTTGATAGTGCTAGATCAGGTAGACTGGACGGCTATTCGAATCATAACAAATAGAAAGTTATCCAAACATTGGAGAAATTGARTAAGGGCTTCATGTTCAAGGTCTTTGGCAAGTTTTTTCGATTTTCCACACAAAGAAGTCAATGATTTCATGAAGTGAAGSTCCAATAGCAAAKKTCACTGCCACTGTAGCCGTCAATTTACATTAGTTAAWGYCMCTGTCATTTTACAGTAGTAAATGCTCCCGTTGTCACTGTCAATGTCRCTGTSATTTTACMKTAGYAAATGCKCCSGTTGTCACTGTCAATGTCRCTGTSATTTTACMKTAGTAAATGCGCCCGTTGTCACTGTCAATGTCGCTGTCATTTTACCTTAGTAAATGCGCCCGCTGTCACTGACAATGTCGCTGTCATTTTACAGTAGTAAATGCGCCCGTTGTCACTGTCAATGTCGCTGTCATTTTACCTTAGTAAATGCGCCCGTTGTCACTGTCAATGTGGCTGCTATTTTACATTAGTAAATGCACCCGAAATTTTACTGGCCAGTTTCTGGTGCTTTTCACTTTTTCCTTAAGAAAACACGCAATTCTAATCGGGTGCTGATGCAATCGAACATACATAGTTCAGTCTGTTTACACCTGAGTGTCATAATTTCGTTCGCAGAAAACGTCAGCCAGCTGCGGGAATTTCCTCCAATTTACCAAAAAACACATTCCCACTGTCAAAATTGCTATTTTCAAGTCGAATTTGCTACTGGTGTCTTCCTTCATCCAGGCGCTATTTTTGCTCACTTAAACATTAAACATTAGCAGTCCAGAATGCAGATTGGAGAAGTTTGCGTGAAATGCAGGGCATTGTGTCTGGCCGGGGAATTTATTTAAAAATCCCTCAACAGAGGCCAAGTGAATCGATTTAAATTTAGCCACTAAGCCCGTAAATCCTCCACTAACGCAGTTTATATTTTTAAAGGCTTGTGACTAATATTGTTAAGACGGTTTTACGCGCTGATACCAAACACCAGAGTAATGATTATAAAAATATAAAGTGATCAAACTTTCACCGAAAATAAACTTCAATGTATCCAAGCCCGTCTTCTGGGTCAAGATTAATCGCTAGGAAAAGTGTGAGAAAATTGGTTAATTTTTGAGAATTCGCTTTGAACAACTTCCACCAGGCAGGTAAGATAATTAATATCGCAGCCAGGATTTATGGGAATGTTTAGCAGAAACAGTTCGCGCCTGAATCATGGCGGTTCCTGTTCATTTTTAACAAGTAAATCGAAGTAACGTGCGAAATGGCTCCTTTATTTTTAGCACTAACTAAATAATTCATCAAACAATAAAACTTTATAGTTGCACATAAAATGATCAAAACAGCGCTTTGTTTATATTGTCACTGATACGGTAGGCTGCCAATTTGCCCAACATGTTATGAACAGATTGGCTCATTCATGTGATTATTTGTGTCCCAATATTTACTGGGAGGCTCGCGCAAAGAGCAACCTACTTGGTTTTTTATATCCTTCCGTCCAATGAACGCACTCAATCCCGAGTTCGGTGAAACATTTATTTTTGCTGGTGTAAATAAACAGGCAAATGCCCCAAACCATTGCAAACAGCAACCCGAAACAAATCAACATAAGAGTCAAAACCCGCCAGTAAAATCACGATTTATGAACCTCCGAAAATTTCGGGGAACCCCATGCGAAAATAAGCCCTGTGATGTTCCAGATTATGGTCCAACCGTGATGAAGCCTGCATTTACATGCTGTTCGAATATGTTTGCGGCGGCGAATTGTTCTCCTATCTGAGGAACGCCGGGAGATTCTCCACCGCCACTGGCAACTTCTACAGCGCCGAAATCGTCTCGGCCTTGGAGTATCTGCACGCAAAAAACATCGTCTACAGAGACTTGAAGCCCGAGAATCTTCTACTGGACAAAGAAGGCCACTTGAAAATCACAGATTTTGGGTTCGCCAAGAAACTGACGGACCGAACCTGGACCTTGTGTGGCACGCCCGAGTATCTGGCACCGGAAATCATCCAGAGCAAAGGACACAATAAAGCGGTCGATTGGTGGGCGTTAGGTAGGTCTGGAGCTTTAATGAGCAACGTGTAAACTCATTAGGAAATCCCAGTCAGAATAAATAATTCGCCACGGAAATGTGTATATTTTTAGGTGTGTTGATCTACGAGATGTTGGCGGGCTATCCGCCGTTTTACGACGACAATCCGTTCGGAATATACGAGAAAATCCTCAGCGGCAAAATCGAATGGGCCAAACACATCGATCCCATCGCCAAGGATATCATCAAGAAGCTGCTGGTGCAAGATCGAACCAAACGGCTGGGTAATATGAAGGTGAGCAATGCAAATGGCCTCCAGTTTGGCCCGATTTTGGTTCAAGCGATTCAGGGTTGGGCGTCTACTCCTCTTCGACATCCGCTATGAGCTTGCATAATGTTCCAGCTGAACATTTTTTTGCCGATTTGTGTCGGATTGCCTAAAAAGTGAGCGAGCTGTGGGCAAAGAAGTTATCTGTCCGAACAGAACGAACTTTAAAATATTTTTATCGGTCTTTTTTTCAATTACTGTATAATTTCTCTATGGATCTCAGGCATGAATCGACTAGAATATTGCATAAAGATTTACACAAATGTCGCTTTTGTTCCAAAACTGTGAGCGCAAGCGAACTGCCGAATGTTCAACTTCTCTCATCTGGAAGGTTCGATGATCTCTTCCTTCGATTAAAAAAAAACATTTATCAGCAATTCTCGGGCTTTTAGCGGTTTTAAACAAGAAGCTAAAAGTGACTATAATTTTTTGTAATTTTGGGGCAAATGGGCTGCCTTTCCGAGCGGAACGAACATTAAACTGCGTTAGACGAACACTGAGCTTGATTTCGTTTGTTTGGCGAGGTAAGGGATGAACTTTTTGCGATTTAGAAAACGAAGCTTATGGGCGCTTTAGGATTGAAAAGTTTGCGAGCTTTGAACAAACGAGCGGAACGAACATGAAATCTGCCACTTTTCTTATGTGGACTGTTTCTAAAGCTGTAGCAATTTTTTGCATCCGTGCGCGAGTTGAGAAATGAATACTTTGGGAATTGCAACTGTTTTATATGGATAGTTTTGCGATCTAGAAAAAGGGAACTTTTCAAGATTTTACGACTGATAAACACGAACAGAACGAACCTCAAATCTTCGGGTTCTTCTATTAAAAGTGTGCCAAAACCTCTGATTTTCCAGATTTTTGAATCTTTGGTGCAGCAGAAAAAATGTACGAAAATTTGCAAAAAATATTGCCAATATCTCGAATTTGGGGAAAACAGACGGCCTTTCCAAACAGAACGAACATTGAACCTCCACGTATTCTTTAAAGGATATTTTGCTATGCGGAAGATGGATTTTATATAAACTTTAAGCGGTTTTTAGCATGGCAAACTGATTCTTAGCTTACGAGTTAACGAACAGAACAAACTTGGAGGCTTCAATGTTTCGTGAACTTGAGTACTTTTGAAATATTTTGCGAAATTGGGAGAAGCTTTTCATGGAAAATTGATAATAAAGGGTGTTTGCGAGCAGAACGAACCCGAGAACTAAACTAAAATTATTATAAAACTGTTTTGAAAATTCCAACTTCTACTTTGGTTAAATTCATTTAATTTAACTTTAAAAATTTAATTTTGCCTCTGCTTTGGTCATTTTTTGGATCTTTTGTCCCAATATGAGAAGAATTGTCTGGAAGTTGATCAACTTTGCGTTTGGGTGAAAAAACCGCTTTGCGAGCAGAATGGCCGCAAGAGCTGCCAGAATTCTTCTAGAAATATTTGTGCTCTTTGGAAGCTGGATTGTGTACGAAATTAAAGGATTTTCTAAGATTGTCTGATTGAAAAGTTTACTTTGCACACACGAACAGAACGAACTTGTTGGCTTTATGCAATGTTTATTTGGTTCCGAGCAAAAACAACCTGGGCGAACAGAACGAACGTCGTCTTCAAACATTTTCTCCTGTTTCAGAGTGGTGCGGAAGATGTAAGACGCCATCGATGGTTCAAAGGCGTCGACTGGCAAGACGTGATCCAAAGAAAACTGATTGTAAGCGGTTTCTTTATGAATGTTGCGCTTTTAACTCACTTTTTTGTAAATTCAGCCCCCAATAGTGCCGAAAATCATGTACGAGGGCGACACGAGCAACTTCGACGACTACCCGGAAGGTGACTGGAAAAGTTCCCGAACGCTCGATGATGACGAGTTGAAGCTCTTTGAGGATTTCTGATTGGAAGTCACACCGAAACGTTGTCTGCTAGTTCTTACGTGTACGTTCCGCTAGTTTCTAGTGGGGAACAAGTTGCCATTTCACTTTTGTATAGAGTAAACTGATTGTGATATTTGCTAGGATGTTTATGCTAAGACATTAGAGTGTTTTTATAAAATAGAGTTTTGTACATATATTTATTAGGGTGTAAGTTTGAGTTGATATGCGATTTATTCGTAGGCTAGAAGAGATGATTCTTTAATATTAACATTGTGCCTGAAAGTTATGTTCGTTGTCTTTTTTATTAAATAAAATGAAAGCATTGATCGAGCGGTTTTTGTATGGTGAATGAAGCGCATCTGCCTGGATTGCCTCCTAATCGCACGCATTTGGCGAAATAAAACGGGGCTTAAAGTTATTAAGTACACATCCTGATAAGATAACGAGATCCATACTGATAAACCACTACGATGAGTTCGTTAGAGCTGCAAAGGCAATTTCAAGTAAAATGTGAAAACATGGCAGATATCGAAACCTACGGCAAGTTTTCTCACAGACGAGCAGACAAAGGCAGCAAAGTGCAACGAATTTTGGGTCTTTTCGAAATTTCGCGACCCAATAAGGGCCTCCAACGCACCAACTCGCTGCCCAATGGGCAGCGGCCCAGCTTATCTTCAAGCGACCCACACATTGAAGGTTTGTCCTCAAGAAGTTCGCTGCGACGCAATGGACGCAAAGCGCAGAAGAACAAAGAGGAAGCTGGAGCAAATCAACCAGCAAAGTGCAAACGATCGCAGCACCATCCGCAGATCCTCGAGGAACCTGATGAGTGCAAAAAGCCAGACGACGAGCAGTTCACACTCTCCCAACTGCTAAGGCTGCATTCACTGGTCGAAATCACACCAGACGATGTCTTCCATGATAGTGGCAATTTTTGTGATAGTGATAGTGACCGGTTGAGCATGGACACAGTATTTCACGGCATCGGAACGGGAAAAGAGCTGCAAAACGGTGATGGTGGCAGTGAAAGCGCCTATTGGGACTTCATGCGCTCCCGGTCACACGAAGAACGCCTCCAAAGCCCCGGAGATTCTGATGGTATGTATCTAAACGCGTCATAATCCAATGGGAAAAGTTCCCGATGTCCTCGCATATTGATCGACAAGCACTTGAAGATTTATCTCCAAAGTCGATAGTGATATGAGCGCATGCAATCTCGCGACAAGATAAGGTCCCAAAATAGCGCCTCGGCGCTGACATCATTTATTGTGTTTAAAAGGTGCTGAATGAAACGCTTGGGGAATCTCAAATTCCCCGTTTTCTCCACAACCATCCCGGGAAGCTCTAGTTGAATTTCCAAAGACTGATCAACCCAACTCCTTAAGGACCGTTCATTTCTGTTCTAGAAAAAAATGACTCACCCACCGACGAAGAGCCCGAAGTGACAACGCCGCCACCTGAAGAAACCGACACTCCAGAGCTGGAAATCGAGTGGTGGAAGTACAAGTCCTTCGTGCAAATCAACAATGAAAATTGGGAAAACCCGGAAACGTCCACCCATCCGCCTGGATCTCCCCTGCAGGGCAGATTCCGGAAAAACAACCAATCAGGACGCAGTCGAAGAAGGGCCGGAATCCTCAAGAAGCCCATCGGGGTCAAGGAGTTGGCGCAACATTTCGAGAGCTTCAAAGATGCAGCCGCAAATGGCGAAACCGAGAACTATCGGAGGAGCGTCATTTGCGAAATCGACGCTGAGCTGGAGAAGATGAAGCTGGATGGATATGGGGAGGATTTCCATTGGATGCTGGAGGATGGCGAAGCAAAAACACCGGGCCCATTAGTGCAGCTGGAGCCTGAGCTGGAGGACCTCTTCGGGGAAATCTACTTTGCCGACGACATGGAGAAGGGCTTCTACTACATGGAGGCATGGAACGCAGATGGCAAGGAACTAATCCAATGCAGCGTGCAAATCGAGCGCAAAAGCATCGACCTGCTCAGCTTCGACCAAATGAAGACCAATCAGGACCCCAACATTTTATCCAACGACGATAAAATGGTGCTGGTTCTGGGCTCTCAGGCAAGTGATGACTCCAAGAGGAACACCATGTATTCCACCACTTCAGGCGAGAGTTACGACGATGAAGGTGAGTGGACCATTTTATTTTGTTAAATAGAAATGATGATTATTATCTTCAGATGCCATCAGCTGGACAAGCGTGTACGTTCCCAGCGCCGCAAGGCGAGAAACATTTTGCGATCAGCAGGGAATAGTTCGGATCGAAAGGGTGGACAACCAAGTGGATTCCCCTGGCTACATTGGCAGCCAGGCGACCAACCCGGAGGAGGAGGAGGAGAATGAGGAGGAGGAAGCTGCGGAGCAATCCAACTACTACGAGAGCATAAGATTGGAACACCAAATCCTCTTCTCGGTTCCAGTGGAAGTCAAAAAGAACACGTAAGTTCCAAAGCACCAGTCTTGAACCAACTCCCAGAGCTTGGTGCTTTTAGGCTTCAGTACATTGTTGACGAGATTATATCCACCGAAAGAAAATATGTTGCTGATATGGAAAAGGTCCTCGTGGTAAGTAGGGGTACTCATCCAGAGACTGGGGCTGACGCCAGCTTTGCACAGGAATATAAAAACTTCCTCGAGGAGCGCTGCCCGGAAAAGGTGGACGCAGTGTTCGGCAACATGGAGCAAATCTACTCCAACCAAACGAATTTCCTCCACGCCCTGGAATCCCCGCAGGTGGACATCAAGGCGGTGGCCCACACTTTTCTGGAATTCGTAATGCCCCAAGCCCCCACCACTTCGCTTAATAATCGCCTCAATTGCAGGAAGACCTCTTCAGGCTCTACCCCCGGTATTTCAGGAACACGCCCAAAGCGAACGCTGCCGTCAAAGAACTAAGCTTCCTCATCAAGGTAAAGTCCATCAAGCTTTGCGCAAAGTCCCCAACCTTTCCCCAAATTGGTCGTTTAGGAGAAGCAGGAACGCATCAACGACAAACTGGACCTTTCAGCCTACCTGCTGACTCCCATTCAGCGGCTGGGCAAGTACAAACTGTTCCTCGAGAACATCATCAAGCAATTGCAGAAAGACGACCGACCAATCGGGCTCGTTCAGTTGTCTCTGGACATGGTTAAGAAGTACATGAGCAAAGGAAATGATGCTGTGGCGCTGGCCTCGATCCTCTTCAGTCCGTTGCATACCAAAGACTACGGGTCGTTCATTGCCCGGGAAAAATTCACTGTGCTCAAGCCCAAAAAGGCCGAAATGATGGTGTTTTTGTTTGAAGGCGTTGTGGTTTTTACCGTCGAAGATCCCGTGAGTTCCACATGAAACCATCGGCTTTTTGCTCTCATCTAGTTCAGTTTCTTATATATTGTATTCTCAAGTCAGTTCTGCTCCCAATACGTGATGATGTTTCCAGAAAAACCTGGAGCAGTTTGTGTATCAGAAAAGCATCAGAACACACGATCTGAGAATCGCCACCTTTGACAACGACAACACCATTCAACTGACCGATTTCACCAAGACGAAACGTCGCAATTCGAGCAAGCACACCTACATTCTGGATACGAAATCGCCCAAGGTGAAGGAGGCCTGGAAGCTGCAAATCGAGGACATCCTATGGAAGCAGATGAAGAAGATTAAAGGTATGTTTGCCCCATCAGCCACCAATTGACCTGCTCAGTGGATGATTTCCAGAAAACACTCTAAAAGCCTATCAGAAGTCGGACGAAACTCCGGTGCCAGTCAGGAAAAATCCCCGGAAAAGAGAGCAACGCGCCAAATCGACAGGTAATCAACGGCCAGCATTTCTAGGCGGTTTTCCAATTCTTTTATACAAATGATCGTTTTAGGGTCTTCTGTCTTCTATGTCGATTACACAACACATCACTGATTCATTTGCACACTAGACACCATCAACATGGAACAGTTTTACATTGCTGTGGTTCTTGTATCATTTAGTATTTATTCTATTCGACCTATTTTGTCAATTTGGACTGGACTAATAAATTTATTTTATCTAAATGTACAATCTGTTAAAGTGAAAGTCTTCAGTTGCCCTGGTCTTTTAATTTACGACACTCTCTTCACATCTCGGAGATGAGCAGAGTTGAAACGCAAAAAATGTTTAAAACGAAGAATTCCTATGAACTACTTGCTTCCTAATGCAAGGTTGGAAGGCCGTAGCGCTTTGCAGTTTCGCAGCAGTTGAGGAACTCCAAAAAAACCACTAGAAAATCGCATTAAAACATTATCTTCACAGGCGTTTTTTCATGTAAGTTAACTGTTTTTGGCGTGCCTTCACAGTCGCCAGGCCGTAGCTTCTCTTATCCGCAGATACGCCTTATCTAAGAATACTTATCTGATAACTAAGACAATGATAAGGCAGATAAGCAGTTGCAAATGAGTTCAAAGTTACACGCAATAAGGTGTGCGTCAAACGTGGTTAGTGATATCAAAGACAAACCGGGCATATGGAAAATGATGGTTCCTCCTTTGATGAAATCGATCTGCGCTCTGGCAGTGCCGAAACCGATAAACCTCCACCCCCCAGGAGGCCGCAGTCCACCTCCACACTGTCGCGTTTCTTCAGGAAGACCTTCTCGAAGAAGAAGAGGCGACTGACTGCGCCCGTAGGGGACACTGAGCTGGTGAAGGAGAGCATCTCCTCCCCAGCCGAGTGCAAGCAAGTCGGATTCAATGAGGAGGACTTTGACTTTTCCAGAAGCTCCATCCAGTGCTGCCCGTTCGACATTAGTGGCTACGGCTCCTTCCTGCTGATGGACGAATTCAAGGTCCGCAAGCCGAAGAAGATGAAGATCATGGTGTTCCTGTTCCAGAAGATCGTGATTTTTACCAAGGTGCCCATCCTCATGCCTCAAGGCTCATGAAATACCATTAATTTGCCAATTCCAGAAGCAACTGAATGAAGAAGCGTTCTACTACATAGGCAGCGTGAAGATGGACCAGATCAGCGTGTTGCCCCAGGGGAAAAACATGAAGATTCTTCAACTGAAAGACCATCTGGCCAGCGCCAGGTTCCACAAGGAGACGGTGTTTAGCTTGGAAGCAGCCTCCGAGTATATTCAGCTGCAATGGCGACGGACGGTGGAAAAGTGCTTGTGGGGCCAGCTGATCCAGGCGAGGAGACACGGGGGCTTTTCTGGGACCTGAAGTGACTCACCACTTGCTCAATGACTGTGATAGTCTAGAATATAAGCGTTTTTCATTCAGAGGCTTTATTGTGCTCCCAACCAGATGGTTGCGATCTTAGGCGCGAGGTTTTGGACCTTCAAAGGTGTTTGATGATTTTTTCAAGCCGCGTCGCCTGGAGAACTAAAAAATTGCGCAATTGCCAAACTTTCTTGTTTTAAACCTGGGGATTATATGAAACGTTTTTTGGTCCCTACTCAACTAGACCAATATGCCAGTCCAATTTTTCTCTGTGCAAGTGGAGTGATTTTATCATTCTCAACGCTTTCCCGAATGGCGTTTTCTAGTCTTGATTCTTGAGAGTTTGGCGAGAAAAGCTTAAAGTCTCCTGCAATTGAGTCCGCCAAAACCCCCTGTTTTCCCTAGATGCCGCACCATGTTTTAAGTGTATAATTTTCTCTCCTTCGGAAACTCAGGTCGCAACATCACAGGCGTGAGGTCCACCATGGACTATCGAACTTGAAAAAACTTTCACAATTTATGCCTGAATTTGCTGCTTTATGGTGCCTTGAGAAAAATAACATCAGGTTTTTGCACACTTTTGAGCCTCGGATGGGTCTCTGTCCTTGCCCATCCAAACTTCTGAGAAATTATGAAAGTTTGTGCTTGAACCGAATAAAGGCGAGCACCAAGTTGGGGCGAAGAAGGCGAGAACCCAATGCGCCCAATTTTCCTCAATTTTTGCCCCTATGAACCCTCCAAGTGCTTCTGGTAAACTTTGCTGCGCAATTCTTCATGTTGCAGCCCCAAGATATTCGTGATGTTCTCCCTCCAGGTGGCGTGGACTTCTCTGCTCGTTGCCTCAAACTTGTAGATGACTGGGGTGTGAAAAGTCTTGGATTTTTCGTAATGGTAGAACTTGATGACTTTCTTCTTCTTGTCGTCGGCCGGCAGCAGAATGATTTCGTCCATCCTAATATGGCCTTGGTAGTAGAAAGTGTCATTCTTATCCTCCTGCAAGCACAACGTCTCTGTGCTTTAGACAACATTTCTATCTTCACCCTCAAGACGGGGACATTAGTTACAATTAAAAACCAATCCACTTACCCTAGTGAGGAGAACGATGTGCCTGAACAGGTAGATAGTGAGGGTTCTTTTGAACGGTTTGCTCACTTTGAACTTGTCCTTTAGCAGATAGTCGCCGTAGGCCTCAAACGGGCAACTTGCCACCTCCAGTGGCGGTTTTGGGGCGCTTTTGAGGATGGTTGGCACCGGCACAATTCGCTCGAGGACATTTTTCACATTGCATAGATTGAGTATGTCGGTGATGAAGCTCAGTAGATGTTCAACAATGGGCAGAAAATCCCGGAAAGCTTGCAACTCTGCCTGGATCTCTTCCAGATGCATTTTGTAGTGGAACAGTCTCTGACTGAGAATGGCGCCCAGGGTGATTTCCTTACTGAACTCAGCCTGAAAGCGAATGTGTTCAGACTCTGCGGGATTTGAGGCTTAGAGGGCAATACCTTTGAGTCTGAGAGGGCAAAGGTGAGGCCACAACATTGGGTCATGAAGAACTTTTTGTACGTGTTGAACAAGTCCTCCTGCAAACTTCAACAGTGAGGGTTCAAAAGTGAGGGGCACCCCCAGTTTGCTTACATAGTGGATAAAAGCCCTGAGAACCCCGTCCAATGAGCGGGCAATGGCCAGGCTATACTCGAACTCCTTTTGGAGCTTCAGGAGGCCCTCCAGGGTTTCAGTGAGGAGACTGGCGCTATTTTTCACATCTTCATGAGAGTGGTTGCTGATGCCATATAGATAGACCTGGAAGGTTTTTTGCAGTGCCACAGTTTGCAGTGATTAGTGAGTTCGCTTACTGGTATAATGCCTGTAAGCTCCTGCAGGTAGCGCCTCTCTGTGAACTTCAAGTGCTCCATAATGCTCGAGATGGCGCAGCTGAAACACCTTGAGTGGAGAGATGCTTGATTATTAGCTCCAGTGTTACCTAGTGTGGAGTTTTTGCGCCCTTAGCGCGCCTGAGGGAGCCCAGCTGGCGATTGGTTCATAATCCGCATGCTCCTCTGAGAACAAGCCTGCTGAATGGTTGAGGTGACCGTCACTGTGAGTCTCATTCTTTTCCTGCGTTGGAGAGTAATTGAGAAGCCTTCTGCAGTCTCCCATGATGGCGTCCACCGTGCAGTTGATGGCAGCTTCATCTTTTCGTGGGAGAAGGCATTTTTGTTGATAACCAGGGCAGTTGCTCAGAACTTTACCTACCGTCACTTTCTGAACCACTGCCACTTGTGGCGCTCCCTCCAATGAATCCATCGGCGTTCATTTCAGCAATTGTCTGGTCAATTTGCGCGAGGTTTTGTCTTCGGAAGCTCTCCAACCTTCCGCATTGGGTCGCCTGTTGAAAAGTAATTTCCAACTCCTGCTGGCGAGTTGGGGGCGCAAACCTCCTCGGAGCTGCAACGGGTTTGCGCTTGGGCTTCAACTGTGTCACTTTGTCCAGGTACGTCTTCAGCTCGTGCTCTTTCGCTTCCGTCCACTTCAGGGACTGCTCCAAGCATTCGAGATTATCCATTGGCTTAACCGGAGCCTCCAAGTCCATATTTCGGTTTGTTATGTGAAGATTATCGCAGGATTTGCTCAGATTTCGGCGCGGCAGCGTGCAGGGCCTCTCAACTTCTCTGCCAGTTTCAAATAGCTTCCTCACCTTTGCAACGTGCCCTTTTCGAGCTTGGCCACTACGGTGCATCACGTTAGCAAAGATTTCGACGAACGACTATCAACGCTATCAGTTAATTGGTTTATTACGATCTATTAGCGATAATACGTAAAATCAAGTTTAAAAATAATAAAAAAATTAAAGATTGGATTAGTGATGGGTTGATCAATTCCATAAACATAGAAATAAGTTAAAGAGAGCACTTTTAAGAAATTATACTTGTGCATCAGAAGCTAAATACAAACACTACAGAAACTTTTTAAATAAACTCTGAAAACAACAAAAGTATCACTATTATAAAAATCAAATAGAAAACAACAAAAACACTGTTCCTCATGATCTATTGATTAGTTCTTTGAGACAATATGGGGTAAGAGATCGGGGGATCGAGATTTTTCAGAGTTATTTAAGTAACAGAGAACAATATGTTAAAGTCAATAACCAAATAAGTTCTTCACTAAGCATTAAGATGGGCATTCCACAGGGAACAATTTTGGGGCCAATTTTGTTTATAACCTATATTAATTATCTGCTGGGGTTAAACATGAATGGCAAGATTGTATCCTATGCTGATGACACAGCATTGATCTTTTCAGGGGTTTCGTGGGATGAGGTTAGAAGGAAGGACATATCATTGCTGTACATACATTCAGCATGCTCATTTACTCATAAGAACAAAAATACTCAAACATATGTAAAACATAACCACGACACAAGACAAATATCTAACAACTTTCTTGCTCTACCTGAAAAAAATAATCGAACAATTCATCTTAAGTTTCTAATTATGTAGCCCCAAAATTGTATAATTTATTGCCAAGTATAATAAGATCAATAAATAACTTCAACTTGTTTAATAAAAAATCCAGAGAATATATTACTATACACAGGAACACATCTGTTCAGATACTTTCTCAAAAGTTGAGTTCTCGGGAAAATGTTTTGAGTTGCGAGTTTTAGGTAAGAATAACATGTATGGTATGCTATGTGGATTTCTGGTAAACCAGGACAGAAAATAAAAATATGATTACTGATATAAAAAAAAATTGCAACCTTGAGAGTACATACAGGTACAAGGTATCTAGGTACTCAACAAATAATTTTTACATTATATGAATTGTAAATTGACAAATAATTTTCTGTTTACATATTTTTAATAAATTTTGAATTTGAATAACTTTAATAAAATCGCTTTAAAAAATTATAATCATCGTATTTGTTCTAGTTTTCTGGCGAATTGATATGGAATTATGGCTTGGATTGAAAAATCTGCTCATATTTTGGTCCTTCGAGTCGGATTTGCCTGTAAATGCTCGCTGCTTTTCGCATTAGTTTCGATTGGTACATCGAGGAAAGGAATTTGGTTGTTCTTTTTCAATAGTGATTTTGGTTGCTGCTTCTTTATTGTTCAAATTTTAGTTCCCCAATTTAGCTATTACTCAGAGGTGCGTCTTATTTGTTGAATTTATGATTGTTTTCGTTTTATGACACCGCTTAATCTGCTGATAAGCAGCGAGGATAGACAAGTTCCTATGATTTTGCCCTTTGTTCGCCCGTTGAGCCTGGTAAACAATGTGATCCGATAAGAAAATCGGTTTTTTTCTCGTTTGAACTTGAGAAGTTGGGTGATTTTTCTCGACCGTGATTAACGTGACATGCTCGGATATTTGAATTTTGCGCGAAATTCCGAAATGCAACACGTACGACTCGGATATATTTACATATAAATTATTGTCGCAAATGAGATTTGCAATATAACGGGGCCGGATCGTTGGCACCCGAGGCACGTGCCGACGTCTAGCGAGGATCCAGGGGTTGCGCCCCGCCTTCTTTTCAGGCACGTTTTTCCATTCCCTTTCCAACTTTCAGCCTGAGTTTTTCCAACGTAGACGCATGCAGCCTTCTTCATTCGTCGGCTTAATCTAGATGTCAATATTCAAGATATACTATATAATGGGGCGAAGCTGCTCTTGAGTCCTCATAATGTTTGCATGTGCCACAGTTTCTCTGCAGCAACTCTGGATGAATCCGATGTGTTTTCCTGGGCGTTTTAATTGTTACCAACTAAAATATTTATCGAGCAATCTATTTAAGCACAATGACACGAGCGAATCCAATTTGCTGGCCGCACATCCATCTATCAATTAGTCGGAGCCCTAACTCAATAAAGGGCCCCACTACCTGGCCGGGTCGTCCAGGTTTATGGTTTCCGAGTGTCGTAAACATGCCTTATTATCCTCTTTACGAGCGAAGCGTTTCCATTCGGTCGTCCGCTTTTCCGGCCTGTTTTCTTGCCTTATTCGTTTCTTACTTATTTCGGGCCGGCCATAAACTATCCTTCGCATGTCCCTCTATTTCCCACGAATCGCCATTAAAAATTTACGTCGCCCAAGTAAGCTTCATTTTGTCGGGTAATGGCGCGTCAGGACTTCGAAGAAACGTTTTATTGGCTTCTTCTGCCTTTCAGTCAACCACTGCTTGCCTATTCAGCATCAGAAATTAGCAAATATTTCTACAAACATTCTTCAGATGAACAATAATTGAGTTTGAAAAATAGAGCAGCATTTGAGTCTCCAAACAGTAGAGAAGCTAGAAAAAAGGACTATGGAAAATTGGAAAAAACTGATAAAGGGAAGAACCTTGAGCACATCAAAGAGGATAGTCCGCCTCCGATAGGAGACGCCCTTAAAGGCGACTTATGGACGTTATTAGACACACTAAGGGATTATTAAATGAGAAGTTGGACAAGATGCTGAAGAAAAGTAACTCGTTCTGATGAGTCTTAACTTTTAGTAAAGCGCCGAATGGAAAGTGGAAAGCTTTTACAGAAGATCGAGCGTGCGAGTCAGGAGAAAGGTTGAAATTATTAGAACTTAAAAAAACCCTGCCATCAGCTTTGATTTGTTAACTTGTTCACTTTTGTTAAAAAAATGATTTTTACTTCTTTGCCGACATTTTTTGCTCTTGAATTTTGATCTCAGTTTACCAAAAGTTGGCCAACCAAGTCAAATTCCTCGTCTTGAGCAATTCGATAAAAAAGTATCTGGAGTCGATGTGAATAACTTATGGTGTTCATGTGGGTGAAACTTTAGACGAAGTAGATAAGTTCTATATTGTTGAGGCGGATTTATTTTTTACAAACTTCTTTTTGGGTATTTCGCCTCAAAAATTTTTGTCTTTAAAAAAGGCAAATCTGCCGCGCAAAATGTGTAATTTGGCTTTGATGACTTTTCGTCAAAAGTTAATTAATTAAAATTTGGTTGTGCTTCAGAACTGCTTTTTGCAGCTTTTTCAAGGCAAAGCCTCATTCTAAATATGTGAACCATTTGAATGAAATCGAACGCTCGGATTAATTTTGCGGTATTTTCAAAGTCGGTCTCATTTGAGCTCCAAAATCAATTTCGGCAACTAGAGCGGCGCTGTATTCAGAAATTCATTCCCAAAAATAGTAGTTTTCGATACAAGGGCGAAAAATGTCGTTTTTCGAACGACGACGGCGTTTCAATCCGTCAGGAGTTCGAAAAACAAATTTTCGCCCTCGTATCGAACACTATTTTTTATTCGAATGAAAGATTACACGAATAATAAAATGCATCGATTTCATATTTAAAATTTTGTGGCAATGTCATTTTTTGAAATGTCATGTTTTGAAGTTTAAGTACTTTTTCAACTTGAAACACCTGTGGTCTTGGGATGGTGTATGCATGACATTTGCGCTTCTAAAAAAAATCGAGTTTTACGTGTGACAACATCGCAAAAGTAGATAAGTAGGCCATTAAAACGATTATGAGACTGAACTTATAACAAAGGTATAATTTACAAATTGTAAGTAAACTTGAAAATGGGTTCAATAGTTGTTGATAAACCTACGTCATTCCTTAAAAAAGCATTTCGGTTATTTTTAAATAAAAATACTAAAAAATATATGTGCGACAAAGTCCGTGCGTAAAAGTAAAACAAATGAACGCTAAAGGAAAGTGCTTCTTTTTGATCATCGCTTCTGTTCGCAAAATGGCACTTTTTGATTCATTCGAATAAAAACACTTTTTGCACCGTTTTGGAGAGAAAATATTCGTTGCTTTGATAGCAAAATTTCCAATCTAGGACTGAAACAGTGTAATCCGGTGCGGACAAGACATTTTCCTGCAACATCACGCATGCCAGGTGCCTAATTAAGGCGGCTTACAATTGCACAAATGAGGCTTTGCGGCCTGGATCATCCTGGACTTGAGCGAACAAAACAAGGGATGATCGAGTTGCGATTCAGGGCCGAGTATTGACGATGCAAAATTAATTTGCCCAGATCCCTCTGCCATTCAAGCGGTGAAAACGCCGGTTCAGGCTGTCGTCTTGTCACGTCTTCGTTGCTTATAGAAGCAGATCCTTTACGGATTCAGCACAACCATCATCCGTGAATTAGTTATTAGTTCCATCCCTATAGAAAGCCAATTATACGGGCGAAGATAGTTATACTTTACACACATACCCGTGCAAACCCGGTTTGAATAATTTAGTAGTGAGTGACTTCAAACGGGGCCGCATCCGGATATGCAAATTAATAAATCTTAGATCTTACTTTGAGGGCCGTCTCGAATCTGTATTCGACTTTGCCTCGGCTTTATCTGCATATAAATAGAGTGCTGGACACTCGGGATCGGGAAACACCAGGTCCAGGAAGAAGTGTTAAAGTGAGGTAAATTTTCCCCCAAGAGATTCCATCGTCTGTTCAGTGAACTGGCTAAAGGAAAACCCCAAAAAGCGCTTCAGAAGATGCAGATGTTCTTTCAAAATTAGAGGTATTATAGAGGAGAATGATCAGAATTGCACGCTGAACGATCTAAACAATGTCCAGCTTGCTCTCAATACTATCACATTTTACATAAAAAATCGCCTCTCGGATCCAAAAGCAGATAGAGACTTGAAATTTATGCAGCGAAGCAAACAAAACTGTACGCAACTTTGCCTGCAAACTGTGTTTTTCTAGCAAATAAAGGCCTCTTCAACTAACTGCGAACTTAGGGGGCGATTAGTTGATATCACATTTAAATGCAT